TAATATTATATATATAAAATATTAATACTTAGTGTGCAGAAGTGAAAAGAAATAGAGGTAATGCAAATTTTTTTAAGTGCTGGGTTTTTTTTATAATTATGGCCTAGATTTTTTTTTATATTCCATTTACAGTTTTTGTCACACTTTAAGTGATACTGCTTTCCTTATGATTTGATAAAAGACATTTCTTTTAATAATAGAATGTATGACAGAAGGTATTTTTGTCCCACCAACTCCATCATCAACTACACTCCAGCCATATACTCATTCTAGTGCACAGTATTTGGGGAGTACCAAGTTAGAGAGAAAATAAAATGCTGTCGGGTAAAATGGGGTTCTGTTAAATTCTTTCCAACAGGTTTAAGCAGTCCTATCTGGTTATAGGCTATACCGTGTAATACCCAGTAATACAAGCTTTCCCAAAGGTCTTTTGTTAGTCTTCCTGTCTTCAGCTACTGAAGTGTAATACATTTTTATAGAATCACTTTGGAATCATAAATACATTTTTATAAGACACCTAATGATTTATTTTTTTTTTTCAATGCATGAAAATATATTCTACACAGAGGTGGTTTTTATTTTCAGTCAAGAAAGCCGAAGGGCAAACAAGTCTGCAAGCAACAGAGGCACTCAGCTCTTTGCATGGACTTAGCTGCTCCCTCCTGTTAGTTACTCTTGTAAGCTGCTTGCAACTTTTGAGGCTGTAGCTGTGATAAAAAGTCTTATCTTCTCATCGTTTATACCCTGTAATTAAAAGTGTTAGCTAGAACTGATGCAAAGTATATGACAAACTGGTATTGGGGACCAAGTTGTCTTACCTTTATTTTTAAATTCCTTGTAATAAATTTAGCAGTATAATTTGGTAATAGAGAGGTAAATGTCATCAATCTTTCTGGATTTTCTGGATTTACAAGTTAAGAGCAGTCATATCACTTCAGGCTGTGTTTTCTAGGCTAAGTATGTCTATTTATAGGATTGTTTGTTGGTTTGGTTTTGGTTATTTGTGTTTTTTTCCGGTTCCCTTGATCATCCTGGGTTATGTCCATGCATATAGTCAAAGACAGGGTACAGATCTCTGGTAGCGGCAGCCTGAAGCAGTGACTTCTGCAGAGCATGCTGTCATGTCTTGCAGGGATGTTGACTGACTGTAAAGGCAGACAGGCTGTAAGGAAAGAGGGCTGGAAAGAATTGAGTTGGTGCAAAAGCAGATCTGAAAAATAGGAGTACATCACCAAAGCAAAAGGAAGTTCAAGAGGTGGATAGAAACTTCTTCAATGAAGAGGAAGAATGAAGCTGTGGAAGTGAGGAAGAGGCACCTTGAAGAGAAACTTGAAATGGACACAGTAGCTTATGGAAAATTTTCTGAAACTTTAGTCTGTGTGGAGGCACATGCTTGGGACCAAAGAAACTGAGGATGTGTTTCTCTGTTAGTTACTACAGGCTGTTACATTCTGTGCCACCAGACTCAGGGATGTCAGGCTCATGTCCTCTGGCCACTCATGTCAGCTGTTGTCCTGCACCCCAGGGAGAAATATACATTTTTTAACTACAGTGAAAATATCTGAAATAATTGAATTTGTTTGTTTGTTTAAAAAGAAAGGTAATGTGGAGTCTTTAAATAAAATTTCATTGATGCCTCTAAATATACTAAAAGTTTCCATGAAAATTACTTACATCCATTATGAGTAGTACAAGAACTGAGACTTAAATTCCAGTAAGTTATTGTCTTATAAAATTTTGGGGTGGAAGGTACTTTTTAAAGGTCATCTAATCTACCACTCCTGTAATCAGCAGGGACATCTTCAACTAGAACAGATTACTCAGAGCCCCATCCAACCTGACCTTGAGTGTTTCTGGGGATGGGGCATCTACCATCTCTCTGGGCAACCAGTTCCACCCACATCAGAAAAAAATTATTTCTCTCTTTTAGTTTAAAATCACTACCCCTTGTCCTATCACAACAGGCTCTGCTCAAAATTCTATCCCTGTCTTTCTTAGAAGCCCTCTAGGTATTGAAAGGCTGCAATAAGGTCTCCTTGGAGCCTTCTCCATGCTGAACAACCCCAACTCTCAGCCTGTCTTTATGGGAGAGGTGCTCCAGCCCTCAGATCATCTTCATGGCCCTCCTCAGACCAGATCCAACAGGGCCATGTCTTTCCTGTGCTGAGGACCCCGGAGCTGGACACAGTACTCTTAAGTGGGATCTTAAGCAGAGTAAAGGGGCAGAATAATTTCCCTTGACCTACTGGCCACTGCTTTTGATGCAGCCCAGCTTGGCCTCATGGGCTGTGAGTGCACCTGCTTGCTCATGTCCAGCTTTTCATCCAGCAATACTGACAAGTATTACGTTGGAGGCTGCAAAACAGAAAAAAAAAAATATATAAAATAACAAAACCAAAATCTGCATCTAAGGATCTTTAAACACAGAAAAGATTACTAATAGGTGTCATTTTTATAAATAAAAAAATACATAACAAAACCTTTTTTTTCTAGTAGATTTACAGATACGATTGTATGAATGATCAAGACAGCTTCTAAGCTTATTAAATGTTACTTTATATTTTATTTACTGTGTTTAATGTTGTTCATTGTGCATTAACATAGCCATATAGACAGGATTTGATTAGGTGGCCTCTTTCATGGAAAGCAGATGGTATTTGCTTATGTTTTGTTTAGTTTTTACTTATAGCTGATCTATCTCCAGAAATAAAAAGCTAGCAAAGTTCAATAAAATTACAGTGCTTTGCAAAAACTAAGCTGCATTCCTTCTGTTTAAAGTTCAGCATGCTCCTACGCTTCAGAGCTGGCTGTGAACAAATAGCAAATTATTATTTTTTTTTTCCTGGAACTGAAAGGCTGCCTCTTACAACAGCAGTAATAACGATAGCATGATCAGCATTTCTTTAATTGGATTTGTATTTTGTTTGCTGAGTTCACGTCATATGGAGTTCATCTATTACTCTGTGCCAGCAGAAGGATGAATTGGTATTTTCTGTCAAGGCAGATGAAAACTTGTGGTGCTTCAAATTTGTCTGTATGGTTTGACTATTTATAAATTACAACAGAATATGGAATTTGGTTCATGCATCTTTAGAGTCTTTCTATGGAGGCTGCTGGAACTCTTCCCAAGTATAATCCAAATCCATAACATTACTGCTTTCCCACCCTACAGGAAGGCTTCTGTACATCATCACACAAGAAGGTGACCATTTCCATAACTGACCATACAGTCATAAATGTGAAATACACACATGCCTATGTGTACATATAAGTCTGAGTAGGTAAGGTTAGTCCTGACCTTTTCACTGTTGCTAGAACTATACATCTAGATTAGGTAAAAAAGGAAGGTGTATGCCCAGTGGAAGGTAGATCAGGTCACGTGGAAAGAATACAGAGATGCTGCTAACAACTGCAGGGAGAAAATTTGAGTGACCAAAGTTCAACTGAAGCTGAAACTGACCAGAACTGTGGGGGACAATAAAAAAAAATATTTTAAAAATTCATTAATAGCAAAAGGCCCTGTGGAAACATGAGTCCTTTACAGGGTAAGAACAGTCACTTCACCAACTGGGATACAGACAAAGCAGAGACGTTTAATGCATTCTTTGCCTCTGTCTTCAACACTGATGATGGACCAAGGAGGCCTCAATGCCTAGAACTGAAGGACTATGACTGTAACAAGGATCAACTCATAGCTGGCCCTGAACTTGTGCACAATCTGCTGCTACAGGTAGATCCCTACAAGTCCACAGGGCCTGATGGGATCCTTCTTAGAGTCCTCAGAGAGATGGGGCAGGTCCTGATCTCTTCACTCTGTGACCAGTGACAGGACTTGCGGAAATGTCAGGAAGCTGAACCAGGGGAGGTTTAGGTTGGATATCAGGAAAAGGTTTTTCACCCAGAGGGTGGTTGAGCACTGGAGCAAGCTCCCCAGGGAAGTGGTCACAGCACCAAGCCTGCCTGAGTGCTTTGGATGATGCTCTTAGGTGCAGGGTGTGATTCTTGGGGTGCCCTACACAGGGACAGGAGTTGGACTCGTTGATCCTGATGGGTCCCTTCCAACTCAGCATGTTCTGATTCCACAGTTGTGCGTACTGGTCTAGCATTTTTTCAGTATTATAGCAATCTTCTTATTGCCAAGATTCACATCTACTAGATTAAATGGTCAGGGCTTTTTTATATTGAACTTTTGTGTTAAGTATTTTTATTTGTGGGACTTTTCCCAATTGGGTTTAAAGACAGGAGAAACAATATCAACTATATGTGCTTGTATTAATCTTGCATGTTTTATAAGATTATGGGAATTCCTTCTTAGAGCAACTCTCCAAGTTGGGAGATTATTTGTCTACTTTTGCCTGTTTAGTTAAGTGTGTTTGCAACCACAGAACTATTACAGGAACTGCTTATCACAGGGCTAGGATTACTATAGTATTAAGTTTGTATGTGAAATTACTACATGCTAATATAAAAACAGCAATATTAGTGATACTACAAATCCAAATAATCCCTTTTCTGGATTTCTTTAAACCATACCTGTCTGCTTTTGCTTTTCTGTTCAACTGATGGTAGGAGAAGAGCAGGATAGAAAACCATAAAAAATACTTTCGCTTTTACTCTTTAATTACAATATTATTTTTGAAATGTCAACTCTCATTTTTGCCCTTGTTGCCAGGTACCTGATTTGGTCATATATTGTACTTTCAGACACTGGTATGCAGAGTTGTTTGGGGGTAACACCCTTTTGTCTTTGCTTGAATTATGTCCTTCTTTTTGGTGTTCGTTTTTACAATGAAATATGTAGGCTTTAAAGTTTTCAATCCTTGCTTCTTCCCTATTCTGTTTATAGGCAATCCGAAGTTTCCAAGTATCCTTACACATCTTTCCAATGAACCCTGAAGTGTGGAATGAGGACCTTTCATGGGCAAGAAAACTACATGAACAACAAAAGGCAACAAAGATTGAGGCAACGCAACCACTGGCAAAAGAAAAAGAGCCTGTACAAGAACCTATCCCAGACTACGACTTTGAAAGTGATGAAATTGTGGCAGTCTGTGCTGCCATTGCAGAGAAGGAGAAAGCTCTATCAGCAGCTAAAACAGTAGTGATTGTGTCTGCTTCAGGCACAGTAGAGACTGTTACTGAGAAGGAGAATTGTCCTACAACTCCTGATGAAACCCTTTTCATCAGAGCCCGATAGGGCAGCCTTATGGGTTGCCATACTGTTTTAAGAACTAGTGTTATTTATTGTATTGGGCTTGCTTTGTTTTTGTTTTATAAGCAGAAGGACACCCTACAAAAGTTAAAGAATTTAAATTCTTTTTCCTTTGTAAATTGAAAAAGCAATGACCCAAGTTGTTCCTTTCATATCTTGGGAGAAGAAAGCCAAGAATTTAAAAATCTTACGAGCAAATGTACTGTTAAAATGCTTAACTGCATTCTGACAACTGCTTTCATCTTTACGTATTTAATAATTTTACAAGTTATAGTCTATATTTTCCCAGTGATTAATATCCTTTTATTTGAAATGTAAAAGAAAAAGGGATTTTAAAATAAATCTATTTCAATCCTTATTCATTTACTGGTTATCTTTCAGTTAAAGTGTGAGCTGTTCTCTGTTAGCAGAAGTCTTTGTTTTCATTAAGATTACATTTTTATGAGGAAGTTTCCTGTGAAGCAGAGAGTAGTTATTTTTGTGTGTGTGTGTGATTGATCTGGTGTCTGATGTGTAGTTACATTAAATCAGTAGAAAGCTTTATGTTGCTTTCATAGGTGAATGTGTTAAACACTTTCTGATCACATGAAGGTAAATGCTATACCAAACAAGCCGCCGAATGCTTGCTTAGTCGTGGCTAAGTGTTTCACCAGAAGAGCAAACTGATCTGTGACTGGAACTGGTCTTTCCTTATCTTCAGTGCTGTGCTACTGACAAAACCAAAAGTAAAATGGTAGGAGCTGGAAATAGGTATGTCTGAAGTGTATTAGTCTTAGCCTTTTCTTCCCAGATGAGGCTAATCTGATAAAGGGAGTCAATTTGTTTTTCCAAATTCTTATGACCTACTATTTAATGTCTGCTCTTAGTGAACCAGTTTTTCAGGACAGCATTGCCTGAGTCTCCCTTTTTATTCTTTTTAGGTGCTGTGGTATTCATACTGTTAGAGGCACAGTATAGGAGATTTGTTTAATTTTCATCTTTCTTGAGCGTAAGGTAGCTATTGGTTCCTCACACAAGCACTTCAGAGAAACAAGTCAGGCTGTTTCTTTGTGCTCAGTGCTGAGAGTGCTCTCTTTTCATTGTCTTGTAGACACGGTAGAGATGGTTGCCTCCTAACTGGACTGGAATAAATGTTCAAATGAGGAATTCCTGGAGAACTGAGGATTGGGAACACAATTTCTACTTGATTTTGGACTAACACATTTGTAGAGAAGTGAAACCTTTTTAAATCAATCATCTTTGCATTTTTGTATCTGATTTCTATTTAAAAAAACCACACTTTTAAAGGAAATAATGCTACTCAAGAAGCATAGTGATTTTCCAATAGAAAGTTTATTGTAGAAAGGTTAGTTATCTCAGATCATACTTTCAGCTTAATATCTTTTTTTTAAGAGGACACTTAAAATCTTTGCAGAAATTAATTATCCCTTTCAAAAACTTAATTGCCATGTTATGCTTCTTAAGTTTTCATTATTTTCTGCAAAAGTTCTTCCTGAATAGAATTTTGTAGATATATGAATTTTTAGATCTGTCTTTGCATGCACACATCCAAAATTTACAGGGTTTAATGTCTCCTTTGTACTCAAAATAATTATACTTACAGTGACTAAAACAGATTAAGAAATCTAAAGCATCACCATGCTACATTTTTACTTGTTCATTCAGTTAAAAATAAATCTTAAATGCTTATTGAGCAGACATCTGAGTAAGATATGGTTTGATAGATTCTTTAAATTGTTTCAGTTTAGGAACTTTTAAATCTTATTTTTCCTCACAACTTAAGTCATACAAGCTGTTCAGCTGTAGGAAGAGTTAAGAGAAGGATTTGGACAGATTTCTTCAAAGAAGAGACATTCTCTCTCTGGAAAGGGAAATGTGTAAGAAGCGTTAAGGTATGTTTTCATTTTGAAGGAGCTTGGCTATAATCCAACACCTCTTTTCTTTCTTTGCGCTTTGTACTTGTGTCAGTGTCACATATTTACTTATACAGGAAAGACTGCCCACCTCCTTCCAGGGATCCATGTTATCACTGAATCTGTTTCCACTTCAATGATTCTCAAAATCCCCGTTGACTTCAGCACTACTGGGCCAAACTGATGGAGGGGTTTGCATTTATCTACCACCAGCAGGCAGAACAGCTGTGCCAGGTCTGAGCAGTGGTTGTTTTCATCGCCTGTACTAGATGCATTTCCCTTTTAGGGATTAGATTAGGTTATGAATTCTAGATATTGTTAGGATCATAGTGTCTGGTAGAACAGGTAAGTCCTTGTTATACTGTTATTCTCAAGCTGGGAAGAAGTTAAAAATAGATAATTTCAACATTGTTTTTTGTACAGCACACCATGTGTTGCATGTATGGGATTTTTTTGGATATGTTTTAATAAAATACTGACTTCTTTGCTGCTTAGTCATGCTGTTTATTCTTTTGGCTATCACAAGAATAAGGGTTACTGTTGACCATTTTAGACTGTTACTCATTCAGTCAGTTGACTGCTGCTTTCTCCTCTGAATGTGTTAACGTGTTATAGTAAAAAAAAAAAAAAGCCATCACATGAAAAAAAGTTTAATAGTAGGTAGTGCTCAATGCTTTTAAACCTCACGGGTATGCAAATGAGAGTGACCCAGAGGAGAAAGTCTTTGTTATCAGAGGCTGACTGTGAAGCACACTTTCCCATCAGGAATGGTTGGACTCTTATCATCTTAAATGTCCTTTACAACCAGAACCATTCTGTGATTCTGTGAATGATTTTTGTGGTTCTTCATCACTGGTGGCAAGGGCTGCAGTAGCTTCCATGTGTTTATCTTCCATATGAGTGATATATTAAAATGCAGAAGTATTGCAATGTTGCTGAAGAGGAATCTCAATAACAAAAGTATGTTAGGTGGATTAATTTTGCCTAATTTAAAATCTACAATTAAAGATTTAAATACAAGGTTTTTTTCCTCTTTGCATCCCTTTATATCCAATGGAAAGAAACACACAGCCTCAGAGGGGCATTCAGATGCTTTGTACTAGATAAGTATCTTCCAACATGCCTAATTATTTCCTTTGCCTACAAAGGAAGCTGAAGGTGGATGACTGGCAATTAACTTCAAATGCTGAAACAGGGCAAATTCCACTCTTAGAGCAGACAGACGTAAGTGTCTTAAAATGCTAAACATAGATTATACTGAGAGAATAAATCCTCTCTGACAGTACTAGAATTAAAACGAGTTGAAGTATGGATCAGGTAACATAACAGTGACTTAATTTTATAATACCATAAAAGATTGGATTTAAAAAGTAGTTACGGAGAGGAAAAAAGCAAATGTAACAGTTTCCTCTGCTGTTCTAGTTCCTGAAAATTGTCTTTGAATATCTGGTGGTGTCGGAGATCAAAATGAGAAGAGGTAGCATTGGAAATTTGCCTGGCCATACAAGGTAAGTGTTCCCCCAATCCTAAAACCAATAGGAAGAAGGTAAAAACTAATGCTGAGGGCAGGTGGTCTCTTAATTTATTATGAGGTCATATAATAGCTATATAATAAGCATAATTAGGGCTGGGGCAAAGGAAAGCAGAAGCAGGGAGGCTTGGTTTACTGGCAGGTTGCAAGCACCTTGTGATTGTTTTTAGGTTGGTATCAAGTTAACATCATGTTCTCAAATTGGTTGGAGTCCTTGGCCTGTGATATCTCCAGAGAGAGCTAGTTTAGAAGCAGGAATACCTTAATGAGCATGGATGATTGCTGGATCATGTCAGATATGCTGGTCTGGTTTTGAGGGCTGATTTTCTAACACTTGCAACTCAGGAGCTCTAAGGGTTGTAAAAGGTAAATGTGGAGGGAGTACGTTAGAAGTGAGGAGTGATTTGACTGGGTTCAGAAGGCAGATGATTTACGCTTCAGTTGGTTTCCACATCTGGTAAAGCTGGGAGGTCTAGAGCAAGACCTAGGAGTGGAAAGGTCAGGTGGTATTTAGTAGCTCTGATAGTAAATCTGCCTTGAGTATAATAGATCTGCAGTTGTGCCTCTGAGCAGAACTAAGAACTTTGTAGAACACTTCTTGGTTAGGATGATGGCTGGTGCTATTTGAAGATAATAGAGTATCCTGGTTTCGCTTGTGCTTTGGCATTGTTCCTATAGCAGCCATTTGGCTTAGGCAGCCCTCGTGTTGCAGGCAGCAGAAATGTACAAGCTTGATGGAAAACAGGATCCTACAGCCCACCCTTATAGTCCAAGCCCTTTGTCAGTATATCCTACACCCTAATCCCAGGCTCAGTCATAATGCTAATTTATGTTACTGATCTGAGATTCAAATTAATTTGCGAATTTTCATAGAAACCACTGTCTCTTACAGATACTGGCTATTGTCCTGCCTAGAGTGGACAGATTCTCCAAGCTGTGCCAGAGGACAGGGGCTTAAATTGAGTTAGGGCTGGGGTTTGGGACATGGCATGGGGGTGGGAAATACAGCATTACCCTGGATGAGAAGGATTCTGTGAAGCAGGGGAGTGAGACTTGTGGGCAGGACAGACTGTGGAAGTGAGGGAGCGGCTGTTGCCAGTCACAGGGATGTTGGGGTGGAGTCAGGGAGATACAATTTTGGTATGAGAATTTTTTGAATGGCAAACTACTGCATTTTCTCTCAACACAGAGGACTGGGGAAGGGGGATATAGATGTGTAAGAGAGGCTATTTAGGGACTACATTTGATCTGTGGGGGCTGAGGGTGGAAAGGAGCTCCTGTGTGTGAGAAGGAAAGCACTTTGAAACTATGGAAACTACCCATCACACTTAGCAGGAAAATAACCTTTAAATTTCCATGTGACAAAACGTGTAGCTTTCTTTATTTTATGAGGTTTGTTACTTCCAAGGAGGCTGAGGAAGATAATTCAGTAAAGTGTTTGGGGTCAGTGTGGAGGAGGGTGCCAAAGTGGAGCAGGACTAGCAGGCAAGTAAGGGAGATGTTATGGTCTGTCACCCTAAATAAAGGCAGATGTGCTCAGTCCTTTTAGCCAGGCTACTTCTAAATGCCCATCTGTGTTGGCAACTACACAGCAGGGGTGCTTCTATTTTGTGCATTTCTTCCATTGACTTGTGGCAGACAGTGCCAGTATTGCTCAGGAGACTT